ATTAGTTAAGGAGGAAGCTTAATTGGACGGTGGTAGATAGATGACGGTTGTGGCCTTGTGGGCAATGGAATAACGAATAGTTATGCTGTGCATCTGTATGCACCATGCATGGTGCATACAGATGCAAAAACGACGTCGTTTTATTAAAAACGCGCGTCTTCCATTTTAAAAAATTCAGGTTCGATTCCTAGTAACAACATTATTTTGTTCATTCATTATGGAATTTTAGTTCATGGATTATGGAATTATAGTTCATCGATTATGGAACTATAGTTCATCGATTATGGAACTATAGTTCAACAATTCTGAAATTTTTAGTTCATAGATTAGATTATGGAATTATAGTTCATCAATTATGGAAATATAGTTCATCGATTATGGAATTATAGTTCATCGATTATGGAATTATAGTTTTGAACTTGATTTTTTTTTTTTTACAGGAGACGCGCGTTTTATTAAAACGACGTCGTTTTTGCATCAGTATGCACCATGCTTGGTGCATACCGATGCACAACATAATTTGCCTGGAATAACGGAAGCGACAGAGTTTTCACATTGAATTAGATAATAAGGTTAGTTATTGGGCTTTGAAGCATTTTGGACAATGGTTGATATTGGGCTAATTCTTTATTAGGCTTATTTTTCATTTTCAAAAGAATAGCTATTTATCATTTTCAAAAAAAAAAAAAAAAAAACAGAATTCCCCTGCCTCCTATCCCTCTTCCTACCCAGTACCCACTAAAATAGCTTTCCCAAAGTCCGAAAATAAAATAAAAATTAAATACACGTGCATCAAGATAATACAAATACCTTGAAACTTAAGTTCAATTCTGATTTAACACTTTTTGAATAAGTTATTATGGCAATTTATATCGTGCACCACGGCGCACATAGTAATGTGCATCCAGGCACAAAACGTGTACATTTTAATTGCTGACGTCATTTTATTCGTCTAAACGGTCAAAATCCCATTATGTGTGATTATAAGTTTCTGTTTATTGTGTTATGAGTTTATATGTATTCAGTTAAGAGTTTCTATGTATTCAGTTAAGAGTTTCTGTGTACTATGTATCATGTTAGATTATGTGTATTCAGTTATGAGTTTCTGTGTATTCTGTTATGAGTTTATGTGTATTCAAAACAAAGAATTTTTTTATTTTTTTTATTTTTTTATTTATTTTTTTTTTTGTTAACAATGCACCAAAACGACGTCATTTTGGGAGGCGCGGGGTGCACGGTATAACGATTGAGTTATTATAACACTATTGATGTAGATTAAATCACCGTAACAGTGTGCAATACAGTAGCAGGCTGACCGATCGTATAACGTGACTGGGAGCCACTTAAATACAGTGCTTCTAGTAGTTGAAAAGTCCTCTCTAAGGTAATAAATGAAGTATTTATAGAGGGCCTAAGGAGCAGTGCCCGGTCCTCCGGCATGGCAGGCACGTGGCGTTCATGCACCGGGTCCTATGAAGGCAGGCATGCAGCTGAACACGTGGGCGGAGGCTCCTGCCAGCAGCAAGGTCCACAACCAGGTAGAGACGATCCGCATACCCCTCTGCCCACTCCTCCCGGTGTAACACCGCACTTTTCTTATACCTAATTACAGTTCTAATACCAAAATCAAGATAAACTAAGCAGCGGATAAATAACTTAAATAATAAACTAGTGGGAATGTCACCGCCACAATCACCTCTCCATGGTGATTGCACAGGTAAGGATGGAACTAAATCATTAAACCATACTAACATTCGAATTACTTAATGTAAAGTCATTTGGGGGAAAAACACCCCGAGGTCTAACATCAAACATAAACGTCAAAGTCCACTATCCATCAAAAGAACAACATAATAATAAAGAGAGTTCAGACTACTAGATCTACTATACTAGTCTAACTCGATCATCTCTCAACTCTAGGCCCACCTAAAAAGGGTTTTGCAAAACAACACGTAGACAAGTAGGAAAACACCCGTTAGCACGAAGCTAAGTATAACCACACTCAACCTTGAAAGTACTAGAGTATATACTTTGGAAAAACATTTGTTCACAAACTCAATCAAACAATCTCATCACTTCTTTCTCAACCAAACAATATATGTACCTATACTAGAGACCACACTCAACCAAACAATTCCTATCTATTTCTTGCTTCTTTCTCTCTGCCGAGACGCCACCCTCAGCCTCCCTTCTCTTTGATGGTGGTTCATGGTGGTGAGATGATGTTGAGCTGCCATGTTAAGGGCGAAATAGCGAAAGAGAAGGGAGGCTGAGGGTGGCGTCTCGGCAGAGAGAAAGAAGCAAGAAATAGATAGGAATTGTTTGGTTGAGTGTGGTCTCTAGTATAGGTACATATATTTATTTATGTATAATGTATATATTTCAAGTAGATAGAGTTGCTATATTAAAAGAATGGCTTGGATCACATTAGTTTGGATTAGGGTCATTTCTTTGGACTCAAGAATAATAATAAAACACCTATATACTTTGGGCTTAGCTAATTCAAGAGATATAAAACATTTTGGGCTCAAACAAAATTATTTTGATTAGAAGTTTAAAATTGATAGGGTTAAGGAATTAGTATGACAAAAATAGGGCAAATTATGCTGTGCATCCGTATGCACCATGCATGGTGCATACAGATGCAAAAACGACGTCGTTTTAATAAAACGCGCGTCTCCCCTTAAAAAAAAATCAGGTTCGATTCCCAGCAACAATATATGAACTAAAATTCCATAATCGATGAACTATAATTCCATAATCGATGAACTATAATTTCATAATCTAATCTATGAACTAAAAATTCCAGAATAAATGAACTAAAATTCCATAATCTATAAACTAAAATTTCAGAATCGATGAACTACAATTCCATAATTGATGAACTATAATTCCATAATCAATGAACTATAATTCCATAATCTATGAACTAAAATTCCAGAATGAATGAACAATATAATGTTGTTGCTGGGAATCGAACCTGAATTTTTTTAAAGGGGAGACGCGCGTTTTTTAATAAAACGACGTCGTTTTGGCATCCGTATGCACCATGCATGGTGCATACGGATGCACAGCATAACTATCCCAAAAATAGGTTCTCAATAGACTTTTGGGTCAAAGGTTTTGGAAAAGAAAAAAAAATCATCGTAGAAATAAAATAATTTTATTTTAAAACTTTATAAAATAGAAATTTGGAATCAATATTTTGGGTTGTCACACCCGGCCCGGTCACACCTCCCGATTACCGGTTTGGCCCTCACCGACTACTGAACCAAGCGGGTGTTGACTAGCTGACCGGGTCGTCGGGGTGGAGGCTGAATTACACCGGTGACCGGGCAAGAGGACTGATCGGGCGCGGCCTACGCAGTTCTGCCCGACCGTAGGTTGTCAGTACATGCGGGGTATAGTCCCCATCAACTATTGATTGCCTCACCGCAAGCCAAGTAACAAATTTTTAAATCTTTAGTGGGGTCCATTGTGGAGATAAAAATCAACTCCTCCTATAATAACCTCAAACCTTCTCTCTCTTCCACCTCACCTTTGACCCCACAAAAAATCAACAAAAGACGTCCACTCCATGCCTCCATCTATCGGAGAAATGATAGAACATTAGAACCCTCATGTGGAAGTAAATTAACCATGTACCAGGTTGTTGACTTGTTGGAAAAGAATAACAAGTGCAAATTTCCTTAAAGAATTACTGTTCATTATTCCATGAATATAACGAAATATTTACAATAAATAATAATCTAATTAAGTATTCGTTTTAATGGTTTGCTATAAGTCTATAACAATGTAGAATAGGAAAAAATGTACCATACTTATGGATTAAATCGAATATTCAATTTGAAAGAAAAAAAATAAAATAATTATTTTAAAATATATACTATTCAAAAATGATTGAGGTGTGGTGGTCTACACGAAAACAAGCCTCCATGATTAAAAGATTTTGATCACCCTAATATTGATAAATGTGCATACTATAATGATTGAAATGTGGGTAGTTGTATTCATTAAATTGGTAATAATTGCATATATATTATTTTAATCTTTTCCATCCTTGATTTAACTCCAATTTCACCTACTCTTGTAAAATTGATGAATCTTGGATTTAGAATCCCAAAATAAAAAATAAAAAATAAAATATATAATGATGTGCAAGTATAATTTGCAACTGTAAATTCTATTCACACAACCTATTTTGTTATTTGCACCACCTATTTAATAGGTTAAATAGGAAAATTCTATTCACACCACCTATTTTATTATTTGCACCTCCTATATAATAGGTCAAATCACTTTATAGGTGATGCTAATTAAAAAAATGCTATTTACACCAACATCATTTAATGTGGTCAAAGACTAATATTATATATATATATATATATATATATATATATATATATATATATATATATATATATATATATATATATATATATATTTATTTATTTATTTATAATTAAATTATTAATTTGTTAAAAAAAAAGAAAAAAAGAAAGAGGTTAAACCCCTCGCCTTCTCACCGGAGAAGGCAACTGGGCTGCCTTCTCCGGTGAGAAGGCACCCCACCGGAGAAGGCATCCTAGTGGGTTGTTTAAAAAAAAAAAACAAAGGAAACCATCGCCTTCTCCGGTGAGAAGGCGATGGACATGCCTTCTCACCGGAGAAGGGTTGCCTTCTCCAGTGAGAAGGCAACCCACTGGGCTGCCTTCTCACCGTGTTAGTATTATTATTATTATTATTATTATTATTATTATTATTATTATTATTATTATTATTATTATTATACCTTTGTTATATGGTTGTAATATATGTGGTGTTTAGAATACTTAGTCTACTAGTCAGGATCAGTTAGAGAGTTGTTATTAGATAAACTCTGTATTCCTATTGTTCAGTTTAATGATCAACAATTATCTCTAATCTGGCATCAGAAGTCAGGTTATCGGAAAAATCATTCTCCTCCTAACCTCCACCACGAAATTCCCCCCTTGCCCGTAATGTCTACGAATTCCTTCGAACATACCCTCTCCGCCGCCAGCACACCTTCGCCGGCCGCCGGTAACACTCTTGCTGGTGCACATCATTATGTCACCATGAAATTAACATCCAAAAAATTTTTGTTCTGGAGGATGCAGCTTCTACCGTTTCTCCGAGGCCAAGAGCTCACCGGCTTCGTTGATGGAAGCCACCCCTGCCCGTCGGAGATGATCACTGCCGACTCGTCGACTGGCAGTTCCTCGACGACTACCACGTCGGCAGCACTAGTCCAGAACCCGGCGTATCATGCCTGGGTGAAGCAAGACCAGACGATCGTCTCGTTGCTCATCTCCTCGATGTCGGACGAGGTGTTGCACCTCGCTCTCGGACGGAATACCTCCGCCGACATCTGGGCGTCCGTCTCCTCCGCGCTCGGTTCCACTAGTCGGACACGATGTTTAAATCTCCTTGGGCAGTTCCAGCTCCTCCGGCAAGGCAACTCCACGATCGCAAATTATCTTGGGCGAGCCGGTGTGCTCGTCGAGTCCTTGATCCAGGCCGGCCGGCCATTGTCGCTCATGGAGCAAAACCTGTACGTAATCCGTGGTCTCCGTCCAGAGCTGAAGTCCCTGGCTACCAGCCTCACCGCAACCGGCACTCCGGTCACGGTGGCGGATGGTGCGACGTCTCACACGGCGCTGTATGCCGGGACTGGACGTGGATCGCATGGCGGGGGAGGACGAAATTCACCGAATCAGCAGCGTGGTGGTGGTCGTGGAAATCGCGACGGACAGCAACGTGGTGGACGTGGTGGACCTCGCTGCCAAATCTGCAGATCACATGGCCACTTCGCCATCTATTGATACAAGCGATACACCACTCAACCGCCGGCACAGGCGCATGTGGCGGTTTTCGGCGAGGCCACGACAGTTCCACAATCAATTCCGGCGGACGGTTGGTACCCCGATACCGGTGCGACGGCACACGCAACTCCGGATGCCGGTATGATGGGGCAGTCCGACGAGTATACTGGTTCGGATGTGTTACGAGTGGGCAATGGCGCAGGTTTGGCAATTTCGCGAATCGGTCGTGCATCGATCCCATCAGAGTCTAAATCTCTATGTCTAAATGATATTTTACATGTTCCCAGTCTTTCAGTACCATTGTTATCTGTTCATACATTTACTGTAGATAACAATGTCTTTTTTGAATTTCACAATAACTGTTTCATTGTGAAGGACTCCACAACCCGGGCTCTTCTGCTTAGAAGTCCCACGTCGGGCGAGCTATACAAGCTTCCGGTGTCACAGTCCAATTTTGCGTTCGTCAGTTCCAGGGCTACCCCCACTATATGGCATCAAAGGCTTGGTCACCCGCACAAACAAGCATTAAATAAAGTCTTACAAAATTGCCCGGTCTCACCAAATAAAAACGAGCCAATTGAGTCATGTTCATCTTGTCATCTTGAGCCAATCGTACCACGTACTAGTCAAAATGTATTAGACTTAGTTTTTACTGATATTTGGGGTCCTTCTCCTGTACTATCAGTTAGTGGTTTTCGCTATTTCTATTTATTTGTAGACGATTACTCAGGATTTTGTTGGTTTTATCCACTTCGAGTAAAATCAGATTTATATAAAGTGTTTGAAGTGTTTCGTGTATTGGTAGAGCGCCAATTTTCGCGCTTTATCACTCGTCGACGAACCATAGAAATGGTGAAAGTCCTCTGGACCAACCACGGAGCCGAAGAGGCCACATGGGAACTCAAGGACACGATAAAGGAACGCTACCCCGAGCTCTTCACACAAGGTAACCAGGACGAAAGCATGAGATGAGAAAAGGAATCAACACAACGAAGCCGAAGCTTCGGGGACGAAGCTTCCCGTTAAGGGGGGAGTGTGTAACACCCCGTGTTACGACTCCCAATTATTTAATCACTTACCCTAAAAAGAGAATTAAAAACTCATTAATCAACTAAGAAAGGTCCACCATAATCCATAGGCCCACATCCCTATAACCAACCCCCTTAGTCCTATAAGGAATAGAATTAGCAAGCCCATAGTATTTAGACCCCAATTAGGACTCTAGGGAAAATATATATAAATAAGGGTCATAGGAGGCACCTAGATCACACATCACAAATAATCTTTCACCACACAAGAAGTTCCAAGAATCCCCTTAGGAGAAATCAAGAAAGAAGAAATCTTAAAGAAAGACCCTTCATAGCCAAGGAAATTAATTAAGGCTAAGAGGTAACCCATGTCTACACAAAACCTATTTCTTTGCTATAATTCCCTTCCATGGCCTCCCTCTAAATTCTTGTGTCTTGATTGAATTCTTTTATGATAATAATGTTATGTTCTTGATGATTGATGAGATGATTTATATGCTTTCTTGATAATCTTGATAATCTTGATGTTAAAAGGAAGTTCTTGATTATGATATGATGATTCTTGATGGATCTTGATATTTTCTTGATGTTAAAGATAAAATATGTTGTTGATGATTTGGGTGGGATTAGAGCCCTAGATTGGATCCCGTTCCCCATCCCCCGTGGTGTCCCAACGGATCCCGTTTGTCGTGCCTGAGTCTAGTTTGATGTTTCGGGTACCGTTCGTAGGATAAAAGAGTCTTAGGAATTGCATGCTATTGGAATTGGTAACCCGTGGACCTAGATGGAGGTTGTATGAGCCCTTAGGAGTTATTCTTAGTATGTGAATGGTCACACGTAAGTTTATTTATATGTCTTTCTCCTCCCAATGTGTTATTACGTGCTCCTACGTGTTATGTGTTGCATGATCCCCCATTTTGGCTATAGGCCAATTGGGTGGTTCCTAGACTAAGGTTCGGAAGTCGGTTCAAGACCGAATGAATTGTTCCCGGACTGAAGGTTCGGAAGTGGCTGAAGGCCAATGTATTGTTCCTGAGCTAAGGCTCAGAAGTGGGTAAGGCCAAATTGATACACTTCTTGGACTACAAGTCCAAATATGGGCCTCGGTGCTATGACCCACCAGACCTGAACGCGCCAGGACGGGTGTGTAGGGCCAATAAGCCGAGGAAGGCTGTAGTCCACCGATCTGAGTAATCAGGCGGTGTGTAGCGCTATGGCTGGCTGCGATCGACCGAATGATGGGACAGCGGTGTGTAGGGCCATAGTCTTCGAGGATCTTCGCGCACCGACTGAGTATAGCTCAGCGGTAACCCGGGCTTGATCCACTATGGTCCACCGACTGTGCGCATTGACGGTGTGTAGGGTCGTAAGTCCCCCCTTGTAAAGGGGATCGCGGTCCACCGACTGTGTGCGTCAGCGGTGTGTCGGATCGTGGTCCGACGTTGAGTTCGTCAGCGGTTCTCAAAGGGTTGGTTGCGATCAACTCCCCTCATACCGCGGTACTGAGGTAGGGTTCTGCGGGGCCATGTTAATGCTATAAGCATTAACCCTCATGTTCGGGGCATGCGATTGGTCCCGTGGCGCCATCAATGAATATGTGATATGAATGGTGATTGGATGATGATGTGTTTTGGAATTGGAAAGTGATCTGTGACCTTAAATGCGTACTCCTTATGAAGATATCTCTACTTAACTGTTTATTATTGTTTGATGTGCTTTTCCCTATTTGTTGAGTCTATTCCCGACTTTTAAAATATATATATATATATATATATATATATATATATATATATATATATATATATATATATATATATATATATATATATATATATATAGGGTTGCATTCAAATACAAACCCCCTTAAAATAAAAACACTCCTTAAAATACAAACTTGAGCGCGTGCACACATTAACATACTTACATGCACACAAGGCGCACTGCCAATAATTTCTGGAATTAGCACGTGCACACATTAACATACTTGCATGCACACAGTGCGTAGGAGGAAAAATCACAACCATCCATCAAAACTCGTGCACACATTAACATACTTACATGCACACAGTGCGTAGGAGGAAAAAATCAGGACCGTCCAATACCACCATCCAACGGCGTCAAATTGTCCACAGGTTTGTATTTTAAGATGTGTTTTTACCTGAATGTAAATATATATATATATATATATATATATATATATATATATATATATATATATATATATATATATATATATATATATATATATATATATATATAGATGTGTATTCAAATGAGGACAAGTATATTATAGAGGACTGTGAGGACAGATGTAGTGTGTGCCATTAGCCGGTATGTTGTGTGCATGGTCGAATGTAGTCGTGTGCCACAGTTTGTATGTCGCGTGCTAGATTTGCTAATTTATAGAGCCTGAGTTTGAAACCTGATGTTTACATTTATTCTTGTGTGCCATTATATATTAAGTTGTGTGCCTGGTATTAATTTGTTGTGTGCCCATTATTTGTCCTCACAGTCCTCTATATATTGCTGTCCTCATTTGAACTCAACCCTATATATATATATATATATATATATATATATATATATATATATATATATATATATATATAAAATGTATTTCAACGCGTTGGAGTGGGTTACCAGCATCTCTCGCTGAACAGATATATTTGGCTTTCAGGCACGAATGAGTAGACACTGGAGCGCGCTAGAGGTTGGAAGCGTAGAGTAGATAGTTCCCTTTCGGCCTGCGTACTATGCTTATGTATTGACATTATTAAGGATTTTAGATAGTTAGCCTGTGCACCTAAGTTCTCTAGCTCAGGTGTGGCATAGCACCCCATACTCTTATATTATACTTTTGGAATTAATGAGAATTTACCATTATTATATAAGTCTTAAAAGTTGAAAAATTTCGGGGTGTTACAGATGGTATCAGAGCCTAAGTTTGACCCTAGATAAGACTTTTAAGACCAGACTTTAGGACATTAGGCTTGAACTCTAGGAAATTAGGAACATAGGACTCAAGAATCTTAGGACGCGCAGTGAGTTCATGGAACCAACACACACAACCACCCCTTACACTAATTCACATCGGATTTAAAGAACTCCCCTCCACTCATAACATCAAGGTAAGGATGCAAAGTAACATCGACCTATGCACTCCCAAGATGGCACCAACCAGGAAACAAGCAAAGGCACCAGGACCCCACACAAATGAAGCCCTAATCCAGAATCTACAACGTCTGGCCCAAGTTGCCCAGACACTGAGCAACACCATCCTTTGGCCATCACCCTCAAACAGAAACTTGGAAATCAGTCACCAAATCTCAGAACAACAACCGCTTGCCTTCTCAGGGGAAGAAAACCCCACAGTCCTCGAAGAATGGATCAAGACCTTTAACAAAATATTCGAAGCAACGGGATGCCCAGAAGACCACCAAGTAGAAATAGCCTCCTTCTACTTCAAAAGCAAGGCTGACACTTGGTGGGTCCATGAAAAACCCAATTACGAATAGAACCCTGAGTTCAACTGGGAAACCCTGAAGACACTACTACGAGAACAATTTTACCCCAAGCACGTAAAGGCAGCCGTGTACGGAGGGTTTCTTCATCTAAACCAAGGAACAACTCCAATCACAGATTACTACCGGCGATTCCTCAACCTAGCACGCCTCGCGCTCGAACTAGTACCTACAGAATCAATCAGAATCAAGAAATTCGTAACAGGACTCAACCCCGAAAGCCAGAGAGCCCTGGCCACGCAAGAACCAAGCACCCTCATAGAAGCCTATACCAAGGCTTCCCAGTTACAACAAATACCAAGCAAGCCACAGGAAACACACCTAGGGCACAAAAGGGGGATCGAGGGAAGTCATGCACACCTCCTTCGAAAATCGAAAATCGCCAGGATCTCCCCTCCCACAAAGCCATGACACCAATCCCTTCAAGGGGGGTGAAAATCACACACGAAAG